AATAAATAATTAATTAAAAAGTAATATTCCAAGTAAACTTTGCATGTGGCTGGATAAAGTAATGATGAGGAAACTTTTGCATTTTGAAGTTAATCCTGCTTTTCAAAATGTTCAAATATAAATTGAAAGACATATTAATGAATTGTGAGGCTATACTGTATAGGTATCTTATTTCAACATACAGAAGCAGAGCTGTGCAAATACAAATGTATATTTATCCGTCGTGTATATTGGAACATGGACTTGTTTCCATGGCGACTGCTCATTGACCTGTCTATCTGCCAGTCCTGGATGGTTAACCTGTTAGGCATCTGCACATGCTGTGCTCCATGCTGAGTGTAAGGAGGTGTAGGTGTGTGTGTGGGTGACTCTGGCCCGTGTCCCAGAGAGCCCTGATCGCCCCGTGGTGAGAGACATCTGCTGCTCTCAGATCAGATCTGCATGCTCATGGTGCTCCACCTCACCACCCAGAGCAGAGCCCGGACCAATGAGTGACAAGTCAAAAGAAAGTCATTGTTATTACAGAGAGTCGAAGCCTCAACATAAGTCTTTGTTCCATTAGCTTTTGTAACTCTACAGTACGCAATCCATTATTCAACCTTTCTTTATAAAAATAATACGAAGGTTCATGAGCTTTAATATATTCCAAGATCAACCGACTACACCACTACAGCTCAAAAACAGTTCTCATGATTACATATACTGAAACGTTCCTATTAAAATTTCCCTGCAAGGGGTTAGGTTAAGCTCAGCATTGTCGTTACTTATTGTCCATATTAAAATAAAATCCAACAAACCCTTTTTAAGATCTTTTAAAAATGTGTTTCCATGACTAAGTCCTTTATTGTGCGATGTTTGTATAAGCAGGCAAAGGAATTTGAGCGCACAAACACAAACACACACACACACACTCATACGGTTGTTGATTTTGCTCTCCGCCCACCAGTGACTGACTACTGCAATCTGGAGTGAGAGAAAATATCAGGCATGTCCTGACATTTACTTTTACTTACGCACAACAACAAGGCAAAAACACTTGCTGTCAAACAATGATACGCACACACAAGTTGGAGTCTGCTGTGATGTAAAGCCCCAGTTTATGTCAATGAAATATATTTTAAAATATAAAAATAGTACTTCTTTAACTGATCATTAATGCAATTAAAACTGACTGCTTCTCAACATGTCAACACCCTAACGCTGCACCATGCTACAACCATGTGTTCTCGCTAGAGCCAAGCTCTGGATTAAATTGATCACTCGTTTTTGCATCTGCATTATTTCTGCTCGCCCCATGTGTAATGGTTGTAGAGTTGTAATGAAAAGGCCTTTAAGAGAGACAAGAAGGGAAAGAAGATTCCTCGGCATGAGAAAGTAGGCATACTGTCAGCAGGATTAGTTAGCATCAGTATTCCAGCTATTACATTCTCGTGTCTTGTGTATGGGCATGCCCGACACATTTGTGACTGTGATTTCAATACATTACCCAGAGAGGGGAGTCAACGGGGGGGATTACAAATGGCAGACAGTGCATTATCACATCCAGTCCAGAGGAGCACTGGAGACTCAGACTGGCAACCAATGCTTAGAAAACACAAAACAGACAAAGACAGGGAGAAGACAATACAAGTTAGGTTCACAATGTTCAGGTGTTAACTACTCCTGTCCATTTGCCTAATTAGATTACATTGTGAATAAGTGGTTGCCATGGGAACCTTGTTGGCAGCAGACACAGTAGCCGTTTGTGATGCTCTCTGGCTCAGCTGCCACCGCCACAAACAAAGCCTCGGAAATCTGGAGCTTCCAAATTGCCAATCAGCCTGATTAGACGTGACATTGTGTTTTCCCAGCAGAGTGTTCGTCGTTGTTATATATTTCATCAGCCATTTCTGCAACTCACTAAGCCTCTATCTGTGTGAAGATATGCTGTCTCTCTGCTCCTGCCCCTCATCGGTCCTTCTTTAATCTCCCCAAAGTCTGTCACCGCTTCTTAATACATTCTCATATAAGCATCTTTGATCTGCGCCTGGAGGAGCGAAAAGAATTAGAAAGAGGGAAACTGATAAGAAAGGAGACGGATAGGGCAACAAACAACAGTAAGCACCTCGGGTCTGTGTATGAAATGGAGTGTGTGCTGGAGCAAGAACAAATATCTAATTTCAGTGTAATGTGCTATGGGTTTGTAGCGCGCTCTCAGGGCGTTCTTTAAACATTGTTTACCGCTCTGATTTTAATGGCTTGTTGGCCACATCATAAAAAGTGACTCTATATCCATGACTCTCGGCTCGGGTCTTATCTCGCTCTTTCAGAGGGGTGAGCGCTCGCAATGTTGAGTCTTAACACATAAATGGGACTATCAGCTGAAACGCACACGTACATGCTACAGTGATTTCAGGCTTATGCTGTAAATTAACCAGTCACACACACACACTGGTGATAATCAATGATACCTGGAGCCTGCTGAGACGCAGCGGAAGGAAATACAGTCACACTGAGTGTGTTGTTAATTTAATGAACAGATTACACCAATCATATCAGCAATGCAGTTACATTTCTAAAGATGGAAAGGAAGAAATGGTATGAAAGAAGAGGCACTGAGAAACCAGTGGCTGAGAAAAATTACGTTTAAGAAAGAGTAAATGTTGGCAGATAGGCAGGGGTGTAGTGCTGCCGGAACACACCGGAACGCACCGGAACGCCGCTCCGGCACTTCAAAAATTGCAGTACACATAAGGAGCTGTACCATGAGCTGTACACATGCTGCGTTTTTTGCATAGCTGTGTCTTTAGTTGTAAGCCCAGTGGCGGTCTGTTCATCTGTCGTATGATCATACAATAAAGCCATCGAAAAGATTAGGATACAGCAGTAAAAGTTCTCTGAGGCTTTAGATAGTTAACTTTAGATTAAGTTATCTCAGTGGGTCTCAAATGGTTTGGTCATCATTTATGTAAACAAGTATTTCCAAGGCACACCTTTATATGATCATTATAGTTATAGAGAATAACAGGTATGAAATAATTCCAATTCATACAGTAGGACAGTAAAACAAAAATACAGTTTAAAAGGAGAGTGATTTGTAAAATATGCATAAAGAAAAAGTAAATCTGTTTACAGTTCTGTTTCACGAGGGTGGTGTTGAGAGATGATCTATAGATCTAGTCCCTCATTTTGCTCTCAAAGTGCACCAGATTGATGCATCACTTCAACACTTAAAACAAAATCGGTAGCTCCACCACCCACTAAAAAAAAGGGTCACATGGATAGGATTCTAAATACATTTGCACACGTTTAATGTAGCAACCTATGTCCATATGTTTCTGTTTTGGTGGTCGTGCCACAACCGTGCGCGTGCCTGCATGTGCGAGTCATAGGTGCGCTCCTGCACTTGTAAAAAAAGCACTACACCCCTGCAGATAGGGGTTACAGTGAGTAGAGAATTCATACTGCCCTGCACTTACAGTTTAGAAAGGCAGAGCCAAAATCAACAGCAGACCCAAAGCGAAATGAAGCTGTGAATCAATGGAGTGCAGGGTGTGAACGCTGCTGAACAGGCTGTTTTCAAGGAGAGATACACACCGCAGTACATCACATAGTGGGAAGACTGAATGTGTGTGTTTTTATGTGTGTTTAGATTCTGCCCTTAGTGCCCCGTAGACAATAGAGTCTCCTATGACGATCGTAAATGAAGATAAATAAACTTCAGAGGATGTTAGCAAAGAGGTGATGCTAGCGTTCATAGCACAAGCCCTCAGGCTTAATGCCAGCTTGTGAGAGTGACGGAGGCATCAGAGAGTCTCCAGGGAGGAAACACAAAGATATACAGACGTGAGGCCTACAGAGAGTGCTTGGGAGAGATTTCCTGCACAGAGGATAACTCGGAGATAAGAAACTCATCCAATAATGAGGAGAGAGGTTTGGCAAAGAGCATCGAGAGGAAAGAGTGGAAGAGTAATGATTACAGTAGATGGTGTATTGACAAAATCAAATGTTTACCTCCACACACAAACACGTCTCCTTACTTGTTCCATCATTAAAGTCCACATTCAGTCCTTGCTCATAAGCCTGCTCGCTGATAAATGCAGGAGACGGATTAGTTTGTGAGTTAATCATCTCGGGGTGTTAATGTCACAGCCTACAAACAGACATGACAAACTCCCTCAGTGTTTGGTTCCTCTGCCCCCCCCGAGGCTCTGCAACTGCTGGCCTGCCTCCATATGGGATGTTGTACTGTGTTTGTAAGAGGGAGGATGGATTAGTGTTTTTGTATCGAGATGGATAGTTGCATTACTTTGATCTCCCTTGGCTGAGTCTGCTTGTTTTTTTGCGCTCGGTAATGATGCTGCGATGATTATACCTCTCAGACGAGGAAAGTAATGTGAGTGTCACTTTGCAACGCTGCAGAGTCTGGCTTTGGATTTCAGAATATTTTACAGGAGATTAAAAGCAATAAATCAATATACCTGAGTTAAATGAGAAGAAATTCACCAAAACATGTCCGTGCATTAAGTGCAGAGTGGGATAGAGGAGGCGATTAGCTTAGCATAAGACAATAAGAAGGGTTAAACAGCCTGTCTCTCTCCCTAAATAAAAAAACCTAATTGTTTACATTTACTCTGTACAAAAAACAGATCTAGTTTAGGGGGGTTTTAAATATTTCACGCCAAGTAACAGACAAGCCTTTTTGTTCCAGGAAACCAGCAGAAACAAAGTATCGTAGTTTCACATGTTAGTCTACAGATTTATTTGAAGGGATTTACATTTTGAGCTTAAGACCTGTGGTAAGAAGAGTTTTTTAATATGTTATTCTTAATAAACTAAGCTAACCACTGTCTCCAGCTTCTTTGATGACACAACAGTGCAATTAATGTTCTCTTCTATGCAGATAATAATAATGTGAACAAATCTCACAATAGAAGTTAAAACATGTTGAAATTCTACTTTAAGCATGTATTAACTATTCTAATCGTTGTTGTGTTTTTTATTTAATTTATTTCCCTTAGAACGAGAGGCTGAACCTGGCAGATATGAGGACCCTAAAGCTCACTCGAGTTCAGCCAAGACGACAGTACAGGACGGTGAGTTCAGGCAACATGACCTTTAACATCGTCTGGGTGGGGAGTTTTTTTTTTAAGAAGAAACATCTTCAGCCAACATGCAGCCACCATCATGTGCTTGTTGTTACAGCTGATTCTACTTATCTGATTTAATAAACTATATGTTTTATTAAGCTATATATATATCTCCTTGCTGAAGTATTTGTCCTGTACTAATGAGAAACACGGTCAGATAATTAAGGATTACCAGGTTTAACGATGAAAAAATACACCCATTGATGTTCCAGACTGAAGCTTTACTTTACACTGAGTTTAAACTATTCTACACTGCTGTTTCATCTGCATATCCCATAAAACAGTGGGTGTAATACAGCAGGGTTTAGCACAATTAGTTCACCACCCAGTCTCAGGTTGTGTGCAGAGATGTCAGTATGGAGCAGAGAGATAAGCCGGGCTCACAGCTCGTCATCTGAACCAGATAGAGCCATGACTAATGCACACAGGATGATCAAAGCTAGCCCCGTCACTAACATGGAGCTATTTCAAGGGTTAGCTGCAGTACTAACATCATGGTCTGTTAGTGCAGGCTTACGTGAGATTTGTAATTTCAGACTTAAGTGGGCAGTGATGTACTGGAGGACATATTTCCCTCTCCTGACACATGCATTGTCAGCTCTGGTGTTTGTGTTTGCAGCTGAATTTAACAAGCTAACGTGGGCTGAAATCCTGTCTGTAGCTTGAGCTTACCAAGTGTGACGTCGTACACTAAGAAATAGCTTATTCTCAGTAACCAGAAACAGATAATACATTTGACTTTTGGTCAGTATTGATGCTGTCCTTTATGTTTTTAAATTCAAAAGTTGAGAGCGCCGCTTTTATATCTACAGCATGGCATTTATTTAGTTATTTTGGCACTGAGTTTGGTTACTTGAAAATTCAGAGTCATAAAATCATGATGATCATCTGAATAAATATTTTAATGCATGATTAATGTTGATAATTGGTCATTCGTGTGGACTTTTAGACATGGCTTGAACCTGGTGTAAGCCAGAACAAGGCTCAGGGCTACAGCTGAAATCTTTTGATGAGATAGGAAATGAAAAACTGAATGGGGAACAAATTGGTAAATCAAATGCAAATTGAATTGCGAGCAATGCAGACATTGTGTTTTGTTTGATAGGTAATTACAAAACCAATTACACATGTTTTGATGTAATTCAATGGGAGATAAGCTGCATGGTAACATACTGTAATCCACAGTATCAAAGCCGAGATAAATCCACAAAAATAATCACAGCCCTATTGTGCTGCTGTGAGTTGCAGAAAAGCGTTTTACATTTGCATGTATTTCAGTCAGTTCACACAGTTGTTGCGTTTGTGGTGAAGGTTAAAACACTGTGAAGCTACTTCTCTTTCAATTTGAGGGAATGCTTCTCTGTAGTAGAAAGCAATTCTGGTATTCAAATATTTAAATAAAAGGAAATTCTTTGAATTCAGAGTGCCTTTGTTGCGAAAAAGTAAAACATGTCAGGCAGTGAGAGCCAAAATTGTCGGCAGCTCAACTAAATGTAATTGAGTCTCTTGTGGTGACCCCTTATGTGTGATTATATTTCCTTTTATATGGATCATAATGTGAGATTTTGAATTACATTTAACTTTCCATTATACTAAATTCTACTTTTTGGTGTGGTGTGAGTCAGTGTGGTGCAGTCGTGTTGCTGGGGGCATAATGTGTTTAAACTCTTTTTTAGAAAACAACCAAAGAAAGAGGAGATTGAGAAAGTTTTTTTTAAAGTATATTTACATTACATGACATGTCACTTGTTAGATGCTTTTATCCAAAGCGACTTACATACTCAATACTGAGGACAATCCCCACAGAAGCAATTTGGGGTGAAGTGTCTTGCCCAGGGACACAACGACATGCAGTGGGGTTTGAACCTGTGACCACCTGATCCGAACACCAATGCACTAAGCCACTGTACCACACGCCTCCATGAAGTGTATGAAGTGAATAGGGTCTGGTCATTTTCCCACTTGTCACTACCGAGAGCTTTTGGTAAAAAGGTGATCTAATGGACACGGAGATTTTGTATGTCATACTGTAACAGGTATGGCTGCTTGTTTAGCTTTTACATCAAAAATAGTCATATTCAAATTAATACAACTGTAAATGTGAGTGCATAATAACAGGAGATAAGAGTAGATGGAGGAAGAGTAAAGTTAAACACACACATACACACACACACACACACACACACATACAAACCCTCACACCCTTCAGCCTCAGATGAATGAATGCCTCAGTCTAGGACAGTGCAAAAACATTTAATTACCCCTGACACTGAAGGTGAGGCGGGAGGCCAGAACTGTCATCCACGTGTGTGTGTGTGTGTGTGTGTGTGTGTGTGTGTGTGTTTGTGTGTGTGTGTGTGTGTGTGTGTGTGCGTGCGTACGTGCGTGCGTGCGTGCGTGCGTGCGTGCCTGCGTGCGTGCGTGCGTGCGTGCGTGCGTGCGTGCGTGCGTGCGTGTGTGACAGTTAGTATAAAAGAAAGGACTGCAACATCAAAAGGTGTCAATGAGACAAAGAATCAGGCTGTAAGTCTTTCAGTAATACCTCACTAGAAATGGACTAAAGGTCAAACTGACACAACATCCTTGTCTGGCAGCAACACATGATCAGCTGAGAGTCTAGGAAAAGTGTTTCAGAAATCAAAAGAAAAGAGACTGCTTGTACACGTCTAAAATACAATCTTAAAAGACCCAGTGAATTCAAACCATTCACTCGATACTGTGCCAAAAGAACTAGCATTAGTTTGATGAAATATGATGAACGTTACCACAGAAGGCTTGAATTAATTTGACATTTTCCTGATGCACCATATTTGATCTGCTCTTGCCCCGATGAAGACCTTACAGCTGGGTTTCTCTGGCTGTTATGAGGAGCTTGCTGCTTGCTTTGGCTGAATGTCCTTTATTTGTGTTGGTGGACACAGTTAGAGAGAGTTGTCTGTACATCAGCAACAGTGTGTGTTTCACTGAGTGTTTAACTCATTGTGTGTTACTTCCAACAAAACCATATTCATGCATATTCTATTTCACTTCTGCTCTCTCAGTTCTCCAAGAAGATGACTAGAATCATACACACTACAAGCAGTGTATGTACAGCTTTATTAAAACGGTGACAATTAGCAACGTTCACCTGAGATGAATGTCCTCTTGTGGGTGCACGTCGTCCTCAAAAGCATCTTTGCTCTTTTGCTTTGAAGCTCTCTTCAAAGAATGTTTGATTATTTGCTTTTATACTGTTCCCTTTAAAATTATTTGCAACAACTTCACACAGCATCCTCTTTCAGGGCTTTTCAGAGAAGCGTGTGAGTGTGTTCTTGTGTGTAGTGGCAGTGAAGAATGTTCAGTGTGTAAGTGATAGTCGATAGCCTTCCTCCCTCTCAAGATATTTTTCTCCCGTAAGCCACTGCGGATCCTTCTCTGACATTCACACTGACACAGCCTGTTTATCTTCTCTATTCCAGTTACATCCACAATAATATCATTTTCTCGTGTTTTCAATAATTAATTTTATGGATAGTGAGTCCGCTCTATCACTTCTCCTCCCTGAGGCCCTCTCTCTGCTCTCATCCCTCCATCATTCCTCGCTGTCATCCATCGCTCCGGTGCCTCTCATAGGCCAAACAGTCAGACCCTGAGGAGCGTTCGCAATCGGAGAGATAAGGTTTATATCCTCCTGATCTGTTTGTCTTTGTGTTTTCTCTCTCTCTGTCTCTTGTTTCTGTTCTCTGTAGCCCCCCAGGTGAAAGACAAGCAAACCCTTTTTAATTAGTTTATCAAAGCCTGAAAGTGATACTCATTTTTCTAATAACTGTCAGGAATCTGTCCTCTGGGAATGGTTGCTGAAAATCCTGTTTATTTCATTTCAAACTTGTTTACTTGCTATTAGTAACAGTGGCTAGGGAGAGCAGACAATGGAGAGCACTGGAGCACGGTGTCGATAAAGGAGCACACCCACCCACCCACCCTTACACACAGATTACGAAAGCGCCCCATTGACCCATGTCCAATTAATTTGAGGTCACCCTCTTCTCTGTGACAGGGCTTGTTGGCCTCATCTTTTGGACTCAGACTATCTTTATTATCCAATCACTGCACTCCACCCTGGCCTCCGTCCAGTATTAGAGGACAGAGGAAGTATTTTATCTTACCCTTCTCTTCTAGAACCACGTTTTTTACCGTTTCTTATGGCACATTAAACGTAAAAGAAGGAGAGAACCATTCTGAAAGAGACAACGTGAATGAGAGGGGAAATTCACTGCCAACCTTAATTATAATGAAATGATACAGCTTCAAGTATAATGGGCTTCTCTGCCAGGAATCATCTTGGACGTTTTGCAGCAGTTGAATGGCTAAGAGTTATGATAAGTGTTGGATCATCCAGGAAATGAGAAGAATTATAAGGACGTCTTTTTTTTGCATGCTATAAACAATATGTGCAGCTTGCCTTAACGAACAACAGTTTTATGTGGCAGCGACACTGACACCATATTACATGTATCATTAATCAGAGACTAATTCTACATGCCCCCTGTCAAGGCATGGATCTAAAACATGAACTTGTGTGTTCAATTGCACATTGAAATCCTTGGCAGTTTCCCACTAAGATTATCCATTTAAATAAAGGTTGTTAAGAAAACAAGCCGTCTGATTTAATGTGATACAACTTTCAGTCTTCACTACAACTTTCCTCAGTAGTCAAAGACAATATTGTTGGACCTGCAACTCAACATATGTGTTAAAAAACAAAAAATGTGTTTTGTGAGACTGGCCTTTCAAGTGTGGGCATCAGTTAATCTGCAATGGAGAATTGTTGTAATGCCAAAATCAAATGTCCAGTGTTTGAAAGCTTGACATCGGCCCGAATTCAATCACTGCTGCATCAGAAATGAAACAGGTTTTGATTATTTTGTATTAAATATGTTATTTCTAGAGAAGCATTAAGCGTAATA